CAATTCTTAATTTGTCTTTTCTTTTCCTTTCTTACAAATGCCTATGTGTGTGAGAAGTTCAGCTACTAATCAGAATGCTTTATTAATCCATAATACATACAAAATATTCCTCATAAAAAATATCGACAGTGATGCTCATGGTGTTCACATATCTAGAAAGTTCAATTCTACCACTGGTTCTCCTGGGAAACCTTGTTACACTATTTAAGACATGATTAACAACTTCAAGGCAGTTTATTATTTAAACTCTTGAGTAATTTGTGACCTTTCAGTTTACAATAAACTCTACATAAAATATATAAGTATAAAAGAAAAAAAAGTTGTCAATCTCATGAAAAAAATCAACTAAAAACTAACTGCAAAACGAAGGCAATCAAATCAATACTCAAACCAAGATAAGCCAAAAAGTTGGCCTATCATCCTTCGAGTAAACACGAATATTAGCCTGGGTTCTCCTTCTCGTCTCATTTATAACTTACCTCCTTGTCCAAGGAGGCATCCAAGTACAAGAAGCCTAATAGTGATTATGCCTTTATCGGAGAATTCACTTATGCTGTTCTGAAGCTCAACAATTGTCTCAATGGTTTGTGATCTGGGATTCCACAAAGCCTGAAAAAAAATGAGCAAGCTGATCCACTGCTAGCATATTCTTGATCCACAGGCACCAGCAAACAGTTGGTGCACGGTACGTTGTCCATGCCAATAACACTTCTAAGCCAATATGAAAAGAAGTTAAAGACAGGAAATGGCTGTACATCACAAAATAGCATACCTCAAAAGCAGAGACGTGAATGACACTTTCTTCTGAATCCTTTGATGCATCCTGAGCATGAATACTGGCTCCTGTTTCCAGTTGTAAACCGCCCTTGCCAATAACCCACCAAATTTCCCAGCTGAACACATAATTTTCATGAAAACTCAGCTAGAGCTAGAGCTGCACCCCCATGTCCAGGAGGAAAACCATTAAAACCACCCCGGACAAATCCAGAACGGTTTTCATATCCTCCTGTCCATGGCATTGGCGACATAGTGTGGGAAGGAGCCCGATTAGACAACATTGGATTTCTAGGTGAAAGGAAAGGCATAGGAAAGCCTGAAGGAGGCTTGTCCTTCCTAGGATTCTGATGCGGTAGATTAGACACTTCATAAAGTGCCCTCTTTGTCACATTTGGTTTTGCAGATATCTCACTTATGTTGAAAGTTAATATAGGCACCAAAAAACAAATAACAAAGAATTTTTCATGTGAGTTTCATATAAGCATGTTTGGAGATTGAAAGTGACCAAGCTACAAAATCATATGCTTTTACAAATGTAAAAAGAAGACAAGAAAAATCTCAATACACCCACAAGTTTCCAGCAGCAGACTTCGCTGGCACACAGTGATTGCATACGTGGACCACTGGACCTTCATTTGTATACATAGACATATTTAGGGTCTATATTTTGAGCACCAATAAATTTCCCAATAATAACATACACAGCTGGGAACGCATATTAAATTAAAAACAACAAAAATCATTTCTAACACAAAAATAAGTTTGAAAAAAATTTCACTTGAATCAACAGATGATCTCATACGACGTCATAAGATTTGCTCTATTAGCTCAATCAAAAGTCTAATCCCATCTACATCATATAAAATCTTCTTTTGGAACATTATTTCCTATGTTAGAGAACATGCAAGGAGCACAAAAATAGAAAGAGTACCAGCACCAATTCATCAGTATCCATAACACAAGTTGGAAGCTGATCTGCAGGAAGGACAACCTACCATATTGTTTGGAACTAGAAGTCTTGTGGTAACAACACTGTTCTCGTTGTCATCATCAAATGTAACTCCACCAAAACGATCTTCCTCTACAATCCTGTCATGAACTTTCAACAGAGCATCCTGGGCAGCACAATGCGGCTCCATTTCATTTCCCTGTGCTAAATTTTCATGGTTATTTTGTTTGCTTGAAATTTTTGTTGGAGAGCTATAGATAATAATTACTCTCTCATCTGAGCCAAGAACAGAATCAGAAATAATCTTTGCCGGGGATCTCCTCTAAGGGCTTTGACTATGTTGCCACCCCTCCCAATACCACCACAGACCTTTTTACAAGGGCAGAGAATACGATACACAGTGTTGAGCAACTGATAATCCTCTGAAGGTTACTTACGGCTTGAATCATTCCACTTTCCTTTCTTATAGTTGTTGTAACCCCCTCTTCCTTTAAACTATATTAGGGCGTTTCTTGAAAAAGTTTCGATTGTTCCCATCCATCATACCCGTCAATACTAAAAACTAATAACTGAAGCGGACTAAATTTTAAGCAAACCTTAATACCTGGATTAAACAAAACAATAACAAAAGTCGCCATTACTGCGAAAGAGCCGAATGCCATACTAATTTTCTCAAACAATGAAACTGGGCTCATCATTTCCAATTTCGAACGGAACACTAAATTAAGCAAAAGCTATTGAATTCAGGGACTGCCAATACAAAAGTTCAATTATACATTGTAAAGCTTGTAGTTAAAAAACGTACCTTGACCTAGTAAAGTATTTCCAACGAGCTAGCAGCCGTAATTCGTGAGCGTTAGGCTTCGGGCCATCGCCCTAGGGTTCCAAAAACCAAACATATTCAGCTCAAATACAAAACTGGAAGCAAAAAGGACACACCTTATGGGATAACCAAGCTCATACAATATCAAATTCAAGCGTTTTCTTTTCTGGGAACTAACCAAAACAATAATGCAAGACAAAAGTTGGAATCTTTAGTTAATTAACGACAGGAAACAATGAATTAGATGGAGGGTGATCGGAGAAATGAGAAGAACATAGCACAGGCCAGTCAGTAAAACTGTAAGATTATGGTTTGTGGGGAAGTTAATGAAAAGTTTTTACCTTTTTACGTACCAAAGCGCGCGAGCGAGAGAGAGAGAGAGAGAGAGAGAGAGAGAGAATCAGACGTAAAGGGAGTGTGGTTAACAAGGTGGAGCATGGAGTCTTGGACTTGCAGAGTTTTACCTGTATTTTTTTTTAGGAAAACTAATGAAAATGATTTGAAAACTTTGAGTTTTAACGATAGGGACAAAATAAAGAATAAAGTGAATGGTACCAGGTTTGACTTTTTAGTGTAAAAATGTGGTTTTTTATTAAAGTGAACAATACCGTGGGTTTTTCGTTAAAACTCCCTTTGTTTTCGTTGGAAAACGAGGTGGGCTTCGACCCATTTCGACTTTTTAGGAAAGGCCTAACTTAACTTCGACCCGTTTCAAATTGGACATGTCACAAGAGGTCTTGTGCATGACCAATTTTTAAAAAAATCCAGAAGTATTGGAAGACTCTTCGTGGGTTTAGATTTTGTAATATACTCAGAATATAAATCGGTACATCACATGTTATAATATAAGGAGAGAGATGCGAAAAATGTATATTTATCTAGTATTCATAATGTATTAACTTGTATTCCGGATAGATGAAAAAATTTCTCCCTTTAAGGGTGTTAATTCCAACATCCGATGGAGTTGATCCTTGAGGGATAACTAAAGATTTCATTGTTTGAAACTTTAAAATAAAGGATCAAATTTAGTGAGGAGTAAACTGTGGTGTTAGCCCATCAATTATTTCTTCATCGACTTCTACAAGTTAGCTTATTATTCCTACAAAGACAACACCAAACTAGATTTCTTCTCGTTCAAGAAAGGCCCAAGAGCATTTAGCACTTAACTAGTTTGGTATTTTTCATCGTTCCTACATGAAACAATGCAACGTCTGAGTGTTTTTCAGTCACGACCTTTGCAAGCAGATACTTTGATGGAAACAGTTTATGAATATAGATGCCCATTGCACCATTCAATCATCCAATTCATCCCTAAAATTCTGCCAAGGATTTTGTAAACAATGTCCTTATCGTATTTTCTTTTCATAAAACAAGGCTTAATCAGATGCAAGGTTTCTATGACAATAGAGTATTCGAAATATAGCCCATATAGTGAAAAAAAGTGAGAATTGAACCCTGGTGATAGAGACTACTAGGAATTGAGCCCCGGATTAAAAACAATGGGCCTTCCTTCCCATTTTAGCTCACCGATTCATCCAGAACCAATTTCATGTAATTTGGCTTTGTTTGTTTTTCTTACAACTTGAATTGTTTGAGTCATTTGATTAATTGGGTTTTTATTGTTTCTTTGTTTTGGGTTTTAATGAGTTCAGTTGGAAGAATCCCCACCGAATTATGATTGGGTTTTGAACTCAAATTTCTCTTGCCCAAAAATAAATCAAAGAAATATAAACAGAAGAAAGCATCAGAGAGACAAAATTTGCAGTCAAAATCGTTCTACACGCCTGCAAATCTGTGAAAGTTGAGATGTGGGTTATCTGAGGAGGCGAAATGAGAGTTCTCCGTTTTGCCAATGTGAAAGAGAAAGACGTGGAATGGGTTAACAAATGAAAGGTGATTAATTTAACCTTGCATGTTAGACTCACTGGCAGCATATTAACGATACTTAACATAAATTTTAACTTAGGATTCAATTTCTAACCGTCCTCACCATAAGGGTTTATTTCTTAATTTGTTTACTACAGGGGATATTTTCCGAATACTATATCATTACGGGGACCATTTATCCGATTTAGCTTGCCAAACAAGGAAAAAGCAATTAACGTCATAAATATGTCAAAACATCAATTGTGCTTCAAGTGTTATGAATTATTTTTATTTTTTTTCATTCGTATGGCAAAGTCATGCATTGTATATTAGTCTAGGTACATAGTGTAGGTACAGTATTTTCTTATTAAGTGCATTAGTTTAGGTATATTACATATTTAGAGGCAATGGATTAGTCTAGGTATAATACTGTAGGTACAATTACACTTATGTAGAATTTTCCCAATGATTGACGAGGATGAATGTAAAATGGTTTAGATTTGGAAGGAGGATCAAAGTAGTTTAGTTGATGCTCAAATATGCAAAGTTCAATCTATTTAAAATAATAAGAAATCAAGCTATAAATGAGATTCTAAAAGTATGATTTACTCAAAAGTGACAGAATCCGGAACACATACATTATACATGCTTTAGGCCCAAAAACATAAAGAGTGCAAAAATCCTCTATCATTATTCATTATACAAATCCTAAAAACTTCCTCAAAAGTGACAGAAGCAAATATCAACGCAAAATGAGTACAATTTAAGACGAACTGAAAGACCAAGGTTTGCTTTTTTTGTTGATCAAAAATATTCCACCTCCGTAAGTAGAAATGAAGATCTCAACAAGAAGAGAAAATTGCATCCATACAAAGGAGACAACCGGAACACTAGCAAGTAAAATCATCGGATACACTATCCACTTTTTTGCTTCCAGCATAAGAAAAAGGGTTGAAGAAAACGCGATCATCATGGTAACGATAGAGGAGAAGAGGGTGAAAAGGCCTATCATCATCTTTGTTGGCAATGATTTAAGAAAATCATCTTCAGCATAACGCGAGTTAAGAATTCCTAAAAATGTCACGACTGAAGTTGTGGAAGAAAAAAGTGAAAAGACATCCGCAACTATAAAGACCATAAATATCCTTTTATTTAGGAAGATGGGAAAGCCTGCTTTGCTCCCACCAGGAACTGAAAATACTGCAATAAACATGATTGTAACAATAAGAGCAGCTACAACCGTACAAGAAGTTGCAGTTGCTTTCATTGATCTTTCACCTTCGTTTGCCAATTCCTTGTGGTTCTTAGTAAATAGATCGCGGGCGGTCATGCCATCTGGATGGTTAACAACTTCAAGAAACTTGGAAGGTACAAGTTTCTCCACCTCCTGCATTTCAGTGAATAGAAGAAACTTAAATTTTCTTTAATTTATTTTCTTCAAAGGCACTCAAATCTAACCCCAAGTAATTAATACTTTTGTACTCTTACAAATCCTTGATGTATGCCCTTTGACCTTGAATGTATATGCTCAAATCTAATCCCAAGTAACCTAACATTCTGAGTTCGTAACAGTAATCAAAATTTCATTTTTGTGATTTCATTTTTAATTTGGTTGTTTCCTATTTGAGAGTGCAAATTGCTGTCACAAATAATCAAGTTTTATTTGGTATAGTTTCCAAATAATCAAGTAATATACCGATTGACCACGTGGCTAGAACTTTATACAGTAAAACCTATTAATTTACAGACCTTGTGGATTGCTTTGGACATAAACTCATTTTTCTTTAACTCACTATGTCTTAAATCTAAACCCTCATCCATTTAGTCTAGCTTAAAATTGTAATATTGTTTATAAAATTTTGGTTCCAATTTCGGCCAATTATAAATAGAAATTATCTCCATTTTGTACTAAGCTATGTTCCTTTTAATTCACGCCCTAAGAAGAGAGGTGGTTTTTAAATAGAATACTCCCATATCGGTTTGAATGAGGCCACATTTTAGTCACTTAAGTTTGTAATACTCATATATATATATATATAAAGGTATTGGTGTTGGTGGTGGTTATATAGGTTTTGGTAGTGGTGGGTTCACATTTATACTAAGTCAGTCATAATTAGATCTTAAACTCGCTATCGATGAGAAATAAATAAATAAATAAATAAATATATATATATATATATAGAGAGAGAGAGAGAGAGAGAGAGAGAGAGAGAGAGAGAGAGAGAGAGAGAGAGAGAGATTCTAACCTTAAACCATTGTAATTCTCTTTGCATCTGCAGTGCTGCACATTGGATATGTTTAAGCTGTGCAGGTGGGGATAACCTCGCTGCTGAATGCAGTAAAGTATTGTTGAACTTATCTACTCTGGATTCAGTACGAACATTCATGATTCGGATAAATTCATGGAAAAAGTTATAGACTTTTTCTTGACGGCATTCAATGGAAAACTGAAACATGCCCTTTGCATTTTCATCATATATCCCTAAGGCTAGGATATTTGCTGTAAACAGCTGACGAAGAAACTCATCATTCCCGTGTTCAACAGCTTTGAAGAGTGCTGTTTGTACGGAACTTCCTTGCATTTGTTTAAGGCTTACACCTTCTGTCATTTTGCACATGCCTTGTAAAACTTCAAGGGATTGAACATGGATCTGTTTCATTTTGTACATGTGATCGATTCCTAGGTTGGCATAGAAAAATAATTAATCATTAAGTTTCAAAAGTACGACCAAAAGAAGTTCTAAGCGATGACTGGATAAATGTTAGAGTAAAACTTGAATGAAAAGATTGACAAGAAGCATTACCGAAAAGTTTACGGACAGTTGAGACGAGCCCTCGCAGTGAAGCCATAACTACATCGCAAATACAAAATGTTTTTGCATTAGCTATTCAAAGAATTTGTTAATTAGGTATGATCTATAACAAAGTAAAAGATGCGCCTGAGGACATAACTCTCGTTTTACTATATAGGGTACTGGGAAAAAAAATGCATAGTTCCATCTTACATGGATATTACATACCTGAGCGAATTATGAGATCCCTTTGATCATTAACCGGGTCATTGGCTTGTTTTTGAACATCTATACGAACATCACGGATCCCAGAAGCATGTCGTATGTGTATACCTATCAAAAAAATAAACACATGCCTCTAGTCAATATATAGAACTTTTTTTTAGTCTAGGGTCTGGACACATTAAACCTTTTCTTTTACTGTATAAATATTTATGTCTGTGAAAAGAGAAGTTAAGGTGCATACCCAAAATAAATGATTAATGGACACTGATGACGATAGAAGTACACATTAAATTTTTTAACACTTACTTTTAGATACTAAAAATAAGAAGGAAAATAACTTACACTATAATATTTGAGCAAGACCCAAAACCAAAATTCTAATTTAACTCGTAACCTTAAACACCACATATTGAAGCTGTGCCGCTATAGAACTCATCGCATCTCACGTTAAAAAAAACCTGTGAAACAATTGAGGGATCTGTGAACTCGAACTTGAAACATGTTTGTATATGAGTACATCAAATACATGTTTGTCTTATTTGTCTATTTGTATGCAAGGCACTTACCGGTGAAGACAAACATAAGAGCCATTTAGGTTTTGGGGCATTGTTACTATTTCTTGACTTACACTAGTGAAGAAAAACATAGTGTGGATACAAATTAATCATGCCCAATCATAGCGTGTCAAGTGAAATATAAACTGAATTTGACGGAACTACCTCCGATATCGTGAGAAACCACCATCTCCACTCTAAGTGGGTTAAGCAGACCAACCCTCTAAGGACCGGCATATGCCCACAACTATCAGGCCCTAACCCCCGATTCTCGCTAAGCAAGCTAGCAAACATTTTGTTTTTCTTCGAGGGACATGGTTGTCGACCCCGTGCACCTCAACCCTATATAAAATTGAGGTTCAATCATAAAATTAATTGGCAATATAAGGAGTAATTCAACCCCTTATAAGTTATTGCAAGGTTTCTCTTTTTATCAATGTGAGACTTTTTACCTTCACTTCATCACACAGCCCCTTACGTGTGATTAACTTTTGAATCAAACACGTGGACAATACAAATTGGATGATGTTGAGGACATGTGATCATTGGGCTTCATAACCTACATGTATCTAAGCGGGAAGGGAGACTCATTGACTTGCCTAAGCCCACTACGGCCTACTAGTAGACAATTTATGAATCTCTTCCACTATAAATAGCCAAGTCATACAAGGAAACTGGTTTATCACAAACTCTATTTAGACTTCTCTACTGAATTTTAGTCTTTCTCAAAACACTTTTTGACTTAGAAATCTCCATCCAGACATAGAATGCATTTTATTGTTTTAATAATATATATATATATATATATAAAATATCAGGTTTTGAGATAAATCAGATTGCAGGAATCGTGTGCAAGTCTCCTTCTATGTATAACATTTAGGAAATATCTTATTGAAAAACCGACCCACGCCCACCCAACTAGAGGGACAGAGAAATTAATAAAGTATAAAATTCATCATAGAGTAAAGAATGAAGTTACTAACTGTTATAGATCCATTGTTGCCAGAATCTGAGACGTGTTCCACTTAAAAAGAGAGAGGGCATACAAGCCAATTCTTGTAAAAGTGTTTTCCCAGTAGAGTTTGTGGCAAAGGCCAAGTTTGGACAACGCTGAATTAAATCCAATGCAATATCTACAATAGGGTAAAAAGAAGAATTATATACATGAAAAAAGTAAGCAAGCAATATTTGTTAGGGAACATGCTATTTAAACACATTCGCAAGTACAGGTGAGTTCTATAAATAATGAAACAGTCCACCTTAGTTAGAGTGTGTCAGAAAATGTGTGCGAATATTGTATCTAAAACATTTATGTACCCAGTTCTTTGGAGCTAAAACAGTGGGAAATAAGATCAGCACCAGTCCGACAGTTATCTTGGGTCGACGTCAAAGCTTCCAATGGAGTAACTGAATAGAGATAGCGAGCCAATCCCCAGTGGCCGCCATGACAAGCCATGATCAGTGGGATCATATTCTGGAGATTGCAGGGTATGCAGAGTAATCTCTTGTTCTTCTCGATTATGCATCTAGCCACTTCGGGTCCTATGAGCGTAGCTAAAGCTATAGCTGTGACACCATTAGCGTCTTCTATTTCCAAGTCTTCCTCTGTCATCCACTCTACTACTTCTTTCGCCATATATTCGTTTTCCATTGAAACTGCCATGTGAAGAGCTGTCAAGCCTGATAGTGAACCTCTTTCTCTGATTGCGTCGGGATGCATAGTAAGATACTTCTTTGCAGAACTCCAGTCACCTTTTGCAACAGCATCAATCAAGGGTTGATGGTGGGGGAACTCGTTGAAGTCGCCGTTAGCTTTATAATACTCTGTCAAGTAATATTATTTATTGTTTGTTAACTAAACGTCAAGAATTTGGGGAAAAATTATACATAATGTTGAAATAAAAGAGAACTGAATCAAATAAAATTAAACGAAACAATGGAGAGTCATACATGCTGCAGTAGATATCACATAATATTACTACGTACGTACCCTCATTCCGCGTCAGACCGGTATTCAGCTCTTCATGTGCCATCAAAGGCACATCCTCTGCATCGATCACGCACGGTGACTTTATTAAAAGAAGAAAACTAAACTTAATAGTTATAATATTGGAATTTACTTGGAAAGGAGACATGTAGTACGTGCGTACACATACCTGTGTTTTCCAAGGCTTGATCGGCCGGCTTCAACTTTTCAGCCAAAGTATCCCAGGCGACTCTGGCCGAGCTAATGCCCCGGATAATAAAATGAGTATCATCCCCGCAACAAGTATGGATTGCATGTAAAACCTTGGCATTATTCTTCCTCCAAACCTTAAATTCCGCTTCACCATCTTCTTGTCTAGGAGGTTCAAAGGTCTCTTCCACAACCTCCCAAAGATCTTCAGCCAACAAGTAGGTTTTAAGGTGGAAACTCCAATCTTCATAATTATCATGACTAAGAACTTTAAGATTAGCAATTACACTTGAAACAACTGTAACTGCCATGTTTAATCTGCAAATGTAATCAATTATCCAAAGTGATATTAGGTCGATTAATTAAGAAAATAATGAAACAAAACAATATAACTCACTCACTCTGCTCGATCGAGTAGTGGCAATCTTCAAAAATAAGTAAGCTGCAGCTATTACCAATGAGCTTAAGTAAATTCCCACTCGGTGCACTTAGAGTGACCACACTTCTGATGTATATATAGATGTATAGCAAATGAGAGATGAAAAAGGACAAGAGACTCGGAAGACTATGCCACCTAATACTCCATTAATTTCCTGGTCGGTGTTAACTGCGTGAATTCAATAATGGGAGAGTTCTGTCGCTAGTTTCAGCCATACACTTCTTGTCTTCAATAATTGACGGGGATAATACTTGCCTTCAACAATTGTGTGGCCCAATAAAATTATTCCACCTGTTAAGTGAAACTCAATCAAACACTTCTGATTCTCCTAACCAAACGCTCTGTCTTCCTCCAGCAACCCCTCACTCCGTTTCTTCTCCGGCGAACTACTCTCACTCCGGACCACTCCCATTCCCTCTCTTCTCCGGTGACTTCAATTTCAATCCCTCGCCGGCGTCCAGATCTGAGCTCGGTGGAATTGGGTTATGGAAATCCGTGACATTGGAGCTTGTGGAAGACAAGAGGTTTGGAACTTTGAAGTTCAAAAGAATTGCAGACTTTGATGAGAGAGAGAGAGATTGGAGCTTGTGGTAGACAAGAGGTTCGGAACTTTGAAGTTCAAAAGAATTGCAGACTTTGATGTGAGACACAGAGAGAGAGAGAGAGAGAGAGAGTGAGATTCGGGTGAAAAGGGTTTGGGTATCCTCATCTCAATCCCTCTTTTCGTTGCCCACCTCTTCACCTAGCGTGTCCAACCCCTGTTTGAACCAACTGGTTCACCTACAATGTCTTTACTCTAATATCCCCTCTGCTTGCTAAGTTCCGCGCCGCTTATTTCCCTACCAAATGAAAATGCTGCGTTCCGCCCCCATCCTCGTCCGTTGGTCTCTCCGAGTCTCTTTCCACACGTGTTGAGGTGGCTGCTGTGGTGGTGCTAATCTCAGTGGCGGCAGCGGCTGCTAGTTCTTGAAGATATTTTGGTGTAGGTGTTTTAGGGTTAGTGCTAAATTGCGGCTTCTTGTACTTTTGTTAAATTATTTGTATTTGTATTCCATTGTTAAATAATATGAATTTTTATTATCAATTATCTATATATGTAAAATTTTGAAATATATTATGAAAAGAAAATAAAGTAATAAAATAATAATTTAATTTAACATATCGGGCAGAAGGGCAAAACTTTGAAAAATGTCAAAATGCTACATAGGTTGTCAAATTCAAAATTTATGTTTAAAATTTGACATCTCCTTTGAAGATATTCTTAGGAGTCAAATTTGACATCAATGTTAAATTTATTTTTAATTAATTTTAATGGTGGGTCCTTCCCGTTAACATTTCAACCAATAAAAAATTTGTTTCAACATTTTTTTTTAATAATTACAATCATTTAAAGATTTATTTTAATAAAAAAATAATAATTGACAATTCAATGGAATAATTAGAAAATTTAACATAAGATTTCAAATTATCATATTAGCCATCAATTATAATTTAACATGTTCTTTGAAGATGATTTGGTATTATATATATTTTTTTTTTCACCAAAAAGCTGCTTTAAAATTAAGCACTAAAATATTTGGTAAAGTAAGCAGCCTTGTGGCTTTCATAAAAGTAGAGCTTAGCTCATTTAATAAATATTTTCACTTCCTGTAATACTTTTATTAGTTACTTAAAAGACGTTTATCCTTTTACACACACATTTTCTCTCATAGAAAACAAAGTGAGCACTATTAACTACCACTTGACACCACTACTTCCATTACCACCGACATCACAACCACAACCACAACAATCAATGTTGCCATCTCTACGACCATTGTTGCCTCAGCATCCCCAATTACCATACCTCACATTAACACCACCACCATAATCGCTACCACCAACACCATAATCGCTACCACAACCACATATGACTGCAAGTCTGTAACCACGACACCAAACATGGCATGCAAGAAGAATCATAAGTATAAAGTGAAGTTGGATTTTTTTTTTAAGATTGAAGTGCATACATTATTAGAAAAAACACACACACAAATATTAAAAATTATCTTAGGAGTTCCTAGAAATTTTTTATTCTAAGTTCCTAGAAATTTTTTATTCTAACCATGCTTTTTAATTTAGGAAATTAAGCAACTACGAACTAATAAAAGTATAATTTTTATTTGTCAATTAGTGTAGAATATCACTTAAAATTTAAAAATAAAAAATTAATAATGAAAGTGACAAGCTTCTCTCACTCCTCAAACGTCAAAAACTGAACGCGATTTTACCATCTTAAGTGCATAATAAGGTGCATGACATCAAGTGACTAGTGAGAGACTCCCGACTCCAAATCTAAATTATATCCCACGTGAACTTGATGATATTTTTTAGGTAAAAGTTTTGCCATGTACTCTGAATGGAGGTGGATTGTCAGCCCTTTCATTTCCATACTCTTTTCATACTTTTCTTTTTGTGTGGTTACGGTTAAGCTACGTTAATATTTTATATTCTTATTACTTTTTATTTTATTATTTCTATAAAAAATTAATATAAAATATTGACGTAATTTAACCGTAATCATACATTGCAGAAAAGCATGTGATGAGTATGAAAATGAAAGGACAATCCACATCCACTACGCAATACCTGAACTGTCCACATCAGACGCGGTTTTTGTGGACATTCTGTCTAGTCCCCGCTAATAGAATTGCCCACAACAGAGACCGTTCTTTTGGGCACACTCTCTAGTCACCACTTCTAGAATATGCACAACAGTAATCAGACAGTTTTTCTTGGCCATACTCAATAATGGTACCGTCATACCCAACAACGGCACAGACAATGTGGTTGATTGATTCGGTGTCGGTTAAAAAATAAAAAGAATATGTTATTCACATATTTCTTTTTACATTTTACATATCTGTTTAATTTTTGTTCATTGATGTTCTTCATTTACATTCAATCCAACAGCCAAAAATTAAAAAGATATGTGAGAAGTAAAAAAGAGTGTGTATATCATATCCCAAAATAAAAATAAACGAGACCGCCATTGCAATGATTATTCTGCATTCACCCAAAAGGCAGGCCGGTCCTTTTCTTAGCTGTCAAGAGTGTCTTATTTTTCGTTTTCCATCTTTTTCTTTCTTCTTTTACCACCACAAAACGATGGCCACTCAAAATCTGCGAATCACAATTCATATCCTTTCTGTGAAGGAATGAGTGGTGTCTGGAGTCCGTATCAAGCATGACTCTCAATTCATATAGCATTTCAGAAAGCCAGAGTTTACTGTGCACATAGTTTCCGAGTGATAATTTTCTTTTAAATGAATATTAGGGCGTCTCTTGCAAACTTTGTGCTTGTTCTCATCCATAATTAAGTTAAATTTTGCATATTGAAGATTGTAATTAAATGACGAACATAGATCATAGTTAGTAAAGTATTTTCAACGAGCTAATGGCAAAGCAGCCTTAATTTGTTCGGTGTTCAGCTTCAATCCCGCACCCTAGCTAGGATCCCGAAACCAAAGCATACGCAGCTCAGATAAATGGAACCAAAAAGGAAGGCCTTAGAGCATTTTTCCCAATTTTGAAATATTTGAGTCTAGGAATGGGGTTGTTGCTTATGTGTGTGTGGGGTGGGGGGGGGGGGGGGGGGGGGGGGTGTGTGGTGGGCGGGGCCTGGGTGAGGGCGGGTGGGGCCTGGCTTCCCGTCCCTTTTTCCCGTAGAACCCCTACCTACTATTGAAAAACAACGACACTACATATTGAATAGGGGCAATAAGAGTCTGCAGTTATGAGCTTTCTAATTAGTAAATTGGTAATTCTCCTGCACGTTTGCTTATAGATTAGTCAGATGACTTCCTTTAATTGCAACTGAAAGAAGCACTTATCACATTAAAGTCATTAATATCTCCTTGATAAATAACCGAGAACCCGATACGCAATTAAATTCAAGTATTTTGGATTCTGGGAAGCTGCTAGAGTTGATGTGTAAACAATTTTTGCAGATTGCTTGATTGTCAATTTTAATTAAGTCTTATCGAAAATCATCCCATTTTCTTTCAAATTCTTCTCATAATTAACTACAAATCAACATATAAACACTAACATGGCCTCCAAGTTCAATTGCTTAATCTGGGCGTGAATATGTTATTTTGTGCAGTGGAAAAAATCAAACTTGAATTGATCTTCTCCACAGTGAAATCAAGCTTCAAAAACTATTGGGTGCTCCAGATACGAGTCTAATATGGCTGGATCGACTGGTTTTGAATTTTCCATTTAAAATTTCCTACCCTAATCATCTATTACGCCTTAAAAATAGAAATTTGAGTTCTACAATCAAATTGAGCAATTTAAAATGGAAGATTTTTAAAGAATTAAATGAGAATTATAGACTATATAAAAATTTGTACAGGCAATCACAAAACCAAACAAATAATCTAATATATGGACACAATTATTTTTATTTATTGGGTGTGATTATCATCCATCTTCGAATTCATACAAACCCTTGATTCTATGTCACTAGTTAATTACACAAATTCTAATTAATGGTTAGGCAAAGAAACAACGTGCTGCTGCGCAGCGCTTGTTCAATATTCAAGAAGCACTAAGAGTCTATATGCCAAAATGTTCTTGCTGGAGAATTTTCATATCAAAAATATAACAAAATAATACATAATTTATATTTGGAAGATTTCATTTCTAATATTACCGAAGTTTTTGATAAACATAATAATATGTGGTTAAGTAAAGACAATTTCAATAACATTGGTGGTAAGGCCATCTCCAACCAAGGGCTGGCCAGATGGCTCGTTTTAGCCCCTTGACCCTCCAAGAAATTAATATTTTAATGAACAGTATTTGACCATAGTTGCCTCTGTCTCCAACTGAGGGCCAAAGGGCCATAGGTGTAACATCCCATATCGTCCAGGAGAGTGATCCTTGAATGTATATTCTCATCCCTACCTAGCACGAGGCCTTTTGGGAACTCACGAGCAACTTCCCAGTGGGTCACCCATCATGGGATTGCTCTAGCTCCCTTCTCGCTTAACTTCGAAGTTCCTATGGAACCAGAAGCCAATGAGCTCCCAAAAAGCCTCGTGCTAGGTAAGGATGGGAATATACATTTAAGGATCACTCCCCTAGGCGATGTGGGATGTTACAATCCACCCCCCTTAAGGGTCCGACGTCCTCGTCGGCACACACGTGGCCAGGGTTAGGCTCTGATACCAATTGTCACATCTCGGCCCGGGACGGATCATTTCCCGGGCTCGCTCTACCACCGTAGCACGATATTGTCTGCTTTGGGCTTACCATTCCCTCACAGTTTTATTTTTGGGAACTCACGAACAACTTCTCAGTAGGTCACCTATCATGGGATTGCTCTAGCCCCCTTCTCGTTTAACTTCGAAGAATTCACAATCATAAACCATAAACTTACCTGACACTTACCTGTGCGTCCGCAACACGAAACATACATATATGCAACTACTAATGCATAAATAAATAGGCAAATGATATGCATGGCATTTAAAACATATGAACATTCCATATCATTTTCTGGGAAAAACCACAAGTATATAGGTATATACAGAAAACCAAAAGCCCACTCATTGATATATGGAAGGGTCGTAACCCCCTTGCCTCGAGTGACTGCACTCGTCCTCAGGATGGGTCTCACCTATATGCGAAACAACTATAAAAATGTCAATTTAAAGCAAATAACCAAAACTAGGTAATAACTTCTCATACAATGCTCAAATGGGGTGTGTGAATACACCAACGTGATCTACTCAACCTCACAAACATCCCCATATTTTTAAAATAATTTTCCGACCACCCACGCGCCACCATGCGCCTGCCAAGGCATGGCCAAACGCACCAACCAAGGCACGGCCAGACGCGCCGGCCACACTCGGGCACGTGCCTGGCACACGTGTGGTAACCCTAATGGCGTTAGGGAATATTGCGTCCAAAAATGGAATATACCGTTATTTATACTTGACGCCGTTAGTATATTCCGTCAAAGTTGACGGAATATTCCTTGTCTTCTCCGGTGAGTCTCACCGATTACCGCCGTTCATTGCCATCTGCAACTCGAATTCTCGCCGGAAACTGGAAAATTTTCAAAACTTCATATCTTCTTCATTTCTCAACCAAATTCCATGAAATTGGTACCAAAATGAAGCTTACAACGAGTAGAACAAAACCTTAACACTATGAAGCCCTTAAATTCATGGAATCTCGCCGGAGAAATCACGAAATTCCAGCCAAACCTACAACTCGCCACTCCTGGCCTTCCCGATGTCCAATTTCTTCCAAAATGCTTCTCCGAGCTTCGTGAGAGTATTCTAAAGTCTCCTATGACCTTAAAAACTTCTAAAACCCCACGATCACGTGTGCATGAACATTGCAAAAAATCAGGGTTCCCTAGTTCTTAGGTTTTCAAGGGGTTCAAGTTCTAAAAGTGGTATGGATGAACTCAGGAACTTGCAAGGAGTTCGAATCTTACCTTCTAGACGTTGATCCTTGCGTGAAAGGTTGGTTTTGAAGTTTGTCCGTACACTTGCAAAGGAAATGGAAGAAAATCCGAGAGAAAGAAGAGAGAGGGAGTCATGGGAGTGTATAGTATGGGTGTGTGTGTGTGTCCTGTAGAGTCAACCACCAAAAACAACAAAACAACACACCAAAATGGCAAATACCCACAAAGGGCATTATCATCATTTCACACCTATGGTACAATTAATTCGAGATGGGATATCACAACCGATCTTCCTTAAAAAAATTTCGTCCCGAAATTCATAACAACTCAAACTAACCACTAGTAACTATAGAACAACCGAGGATACAAATCTCTCATCCGGTCTTCCGTCTCCTAAGTAGCCTCCTCCGTTGAGTGATTCCTCCACAAAACTTTCACTAAACTCACAGTCTTGTTCCTTAGAACCTTTTCCTTCCAATCCAGAATCGTTACTAGTTCCTCATCATATGCCAAATCCGGATTAATTTCCAATGGTTGAGGAGGTATCACATGCAATGGATCCGCAACGTAATGACGAAGCATGGACACATGAAAAACATTATACACTTTAGCCTGCTCAGAAGGCAACTCAAGCCTGTAAGCCACTTCACCAACTCGCTCGGTGATCAAATATAGTCTGATATACCTGAGACTTAACTTACCTTTCTTTCTGAACCGTACTACATCTCTCCACGGTGAAAGCTTCAGAAACACCCAATCACCAACTTTATACACCCTGTCAGTGGCATGTCGGTCCGCTAAGCTCTTTTGTCAATCCTGGGCCGCTATCAGGTTAGACTTAATTACCTGAACATTCTGAGTAGTCTTATCTACAATCTTGGGGCACACCAAAACTTTTTCTCCGACCTCGGACTACGACAAGATTTACCATACAGTGCCTCAAATGGTGACATGTCGATACTCGAATGAAAGTTGTTGTTGTAGGTAAATTCCATTAAATCTAATCGCTATGCCAAGCATCACTAAACTGCAACACCGAAGATCTCAACATATCCTCCAACGTCTAAATGGTCTTCTCTGATTGTCCGTCTGTCTGAAGATGATATGTTGTACTGTAAAGTAATATCGTACCTAAAGCTTCCTAAAAAGCCACCCAAAATTTAGAAGTAAATCTTGGGTCACGATCCGAGACAATACTCACTGGAACACCATGGTACTTCACAATCTTCGATATGAATAATTCAGCTAATCGGCCCAAAGAATACTTTTCCCTTACTGGAACAAAATGCGCTGACTTAGTAAGCCGATCAACTGTCACCCAAATGCCATCAAAACCATTATGTGTACGCGGAAGCTTGTACACAAAATCCATCGTAATGTTTTCCCATTTCCACTCTGGAACGAGAAGCGGCTGCAGCAACCCAAACGGCTTCTTCCTTTTAGCTTTAACCTGTTGGAAAATGGCACACCTACTCACATACTCAGCTATCTCTCTTTTCATACCCAGCCAATAATAGAATAGTCGAATGGTACGATACATTTTAGTACCTCCTAGATGCATCGCATAAACTGAGATATGCGCTTCATCAAGAATTGCTTTCTCTAATTCCAAATTATTTGGCATAAACATTCTACTCTCCTGCATAAGCATGTCATCCGATTCTCAAACTCTGAAGTCTTTCTTTTTCCCTTGATTCCTTGCTTGAATTATTTCCTGGGTCTCTTCATCAACCATCTGGCCTTCAAATACACGATCAATTAAAATCGGCCTAACTTGAAAATTAGCAAGTAAGGCTACCTCCTGATCTTCTACCTCTAACCTCACTCCAGTTGATCTCAAGTCTGCCAGAAGAGGAACACGATTAGCGTACAACGCGTTAATACGGCCCTAAGATTTTCTGCTAAGTGTGTCAGCTACCACATTCGCACGACTAGGGTGATAATCAGTAGTGCAATCATAATCATTAAGCAGTTCCAACCATCTCCGTTGATGAAGATTAAGGTCTCTCTAAGTGAAAAGATATTGAAGACTCTTATGATCCGTAAAGATCTTACATTTTTCCCCATAATTTTCCATAAAGATAATGTCTCCACATCTTCCAAACAAAGATAATGGCTGCTAACTCCAAATCATGCGTAGGGTAATTCAACTCATGAGCCTTTAATTGTCGTGAAGTATAAGCAATCACCCTACCATGTTGCATTAGCACACATCGTAGACCATTTAAGGAAGCATCACTGTAAACTTCGAAATTACCACTATCATCAAGTAGTGCCAAAACAGGTGCATGAGTGAGACAATACTTCAATTGCTGGAAAATTCTGCTCACAATTATCATCCCATTCAAATTTAACATCCTTCCTCGTTAACCTCGTCAGTAATAAAGTAATTACGGAAAAATCCTTTACAAACCGTCGGTAATATCCTGCTAAGCCAAGAAAACTCCTCACCTCAGTAACGGTTCGTGGTTGCTCCCAATTCTCCACTGCTGCTACCTTTTGAGGATCCACCAAAATACCTTGAGCAGATATGACGTGTCCCAAAAATGCCATTTGATCTAACCAAAATTGGTACTTGCTAAACTTAGCATACAGTTGGTGTTCCCTCAACCTTTTCAACACCAAAGTAAGATGTCGAACATGCTCAGATTTAGACTTAGAGTATACCAGGATATCGTCAATAAAGACAATAACAAACCTATCCAAACACAGCTCGAATACTCAGTACATCAAATCCATAAAAGCTGTTGGTGCATTCATCAATCCAAATGGCATCACCAGAAACTCGTAATGACCATAACGAGTCCTGAAAGCTGTCTTAGGGACATCCTTACTACTGATCTTCAACTGATAATAACCAGACCTCAAATCAATCTCAGAAAATACGCAAGCACCTCGAAGCTGATCAAACAAATCATCTATACGCGACAATGGATAACGATTTTTAATTGTTACCCGATTTAATTACTGGTAATCAATGCATAGACTCAAAGTCCCGTCTTTCTTCCTCAAAAACAACACTGGAGCTCCCCAAGGTGAAGTACTAGGCTGAATAAAACCTTTATCCACTAATTCCTGCAACTGAATTTTCAATTCCCTCAACTCAGTAGGAGCCATTCGATAAGGAGTTAAGGATATAAGGTTAGTACCTGGAAGCAAATCAATGGTAAACTCCACATCTCGACCTGGTGGCAATCTAGGTAAATCATCAGGAAAATGCCTGACTACTCTCACGTCCTCCACGTTACTAGGAGCAACATCATTCAACACTACATGAGTTAAGTATCCCTGGCAACCTTTTGGTAACAACATTTTTGCTCACACAGCAGATATAACGTCATGTCTCACCCCACTCTGCTCACCCACAAAAGTAACCATAGGTAATTCAAGACGATGGACGGTAACTGTTTTCCCGTAGCAATCAATATTGGCACGATTAAAATGCAACCAATCTATGCCCAAAATCACATCAAAATCAACAATATCTAACGGGATAAGGTTAGATGGCATAACTACATCCTCCATCATCACTGGACATCCTGGATACACATAATCGACATAACATCTCTCCCCTCTAGTTATAGCAAACTCTAAATCATACCCTAAATGTGTAGGGTGAGGTTGCTTCACTTGAGCAAATGTATGAAAAATAACAGAATGTGTCGCATCACAATCAATCAATACTCTAGCAAAATAACTAAGGATATTTAACGTACCCATAATTAAGTCAGGATTATTCTAAGCATCCTGCAGAGAAATATTGTGGATACGCCCCTTGGTCTGCTGTCGTCCACCATGACCTCTACTAGTCTGACCACCTCGACTCTGCACATTACGCCCCTGACTAGGCTAACCAGACTGCCTTGAAGATCCCACACTATTAGTAGCAATCTCTCTCTGCTGAAGCTATCCTCCCTGGTACCACTGAGATCCACCTGCTGGAATGGGAGGATACGACATATAACCTCCGGAGTACTGAGGATACCCACATTGAGAATAAGGATCCTGGGGATACGGATACTGTCCTAAAGCATAAGGAACAGCATCACCCTAATAATAGTAGGCACCACCACGACTCATCTGACCATAACTACCAGGCCCTGGAACTTGCTGGATCGGCACAGATGGTGGTAAGAAAGATTGCTGAGGCTTCTGTTGATTCTGAGGACAATTTGCAGCTCTATGTCCCATTTTCCCACAAGTGAAACAACCACTGTTGCCTCTCCTACACTCTCCAAAATGCCGATTGTTACACCTGTGGCACAACGGAGCTCTTCCTCTACCAGTATTGCCCTGTCTCTGGCCTCTAGGAACCCCAGAAAATCTACCACCTCTTCCCTGACCAGTGGCACTAAAACCTTCGCTGGAAGAACTGGAACTAGTCCCACCTCGCTTAAAACTCTAGGTCTTGCGAAGTCCTAGAGATGCTTGACCTTTACCTTTATCGTCTTTCCTCTGATTGCCATATTTTTCCTCTTCTTCACTCTCACTAGGCATGTTCTCAGAATTCTCAATCCTTAACAAAATCTCATAGAACTCCTGATAAGAGTCGCAAGGAGTAGTGGTCGACATAGAACGCCACTTTTTCTTAGTACCCAATAAAAAACGACGAAGCATCTCACCCGGATTGGCAGCAACCTCCGAATAATAACGAGATAAATCAGTGAACCTCTTATAATATTCATTCGCCGTCAACTTCCCTTACCTCAACTCAGTAAATTCTTGCTTCTTACGATCAATGTACTCATGAGGCACAAACTTTTTCCGAAACAAATGTTTAAACATCTCCCAGTCAGCCCTTTCCTCTGGGGTCAAACTACCAACCTCATGTTCCCACCAGGATGATGATTCCTTACCCAAGAACCATGAAGTCGTCTCTACCCACTTTTCAACAGGAAGATTCCCCTGATTATGCAACACTCTAAAAGTCTTTTTAAGATGCTCCAGCTACTGCTCAGCTCCCTCAAAACCCTCGTGGCACTTAAACTTATCCAGCTTCAAATTATACATGGTCTCAAGAATTGGGGAGAGCGGAGCGCAGACTGAATAGCGGTAACAATAGCTTCCCCTAATTGAGTTACATCGGGGAAACTAGGCTCAGCAGAGCGATGTGGTTCCCTACAAGGCGGCATAGTTCTGACAGAAGACACCAAAATAATTAGAACACTCACAAAATATGCAAGACCACCAAACCTATGCTTTGATACCAAACTGACACACCCTAACCGGAATCAAGGCGTGCTGGTCCGCCACGTGAGGGTGACGTAACCATGTGTACAGTGCGGAAGCAAAAGATAATAATAAAAGTACAAATAAATAAAAACCAAGCTACTAAATAAACTAATTAAAGTAACACACTAATGCGAGACTAAATGTGATAAACATAATCAGAGCACAGAAAACCTAAGTGCAGTCCAGAAGAAGAATACTAATTACACAACACCCAAATGTGATCCTACATTTGTGATGTTCTATCAAAACCACCGACAAGTCATCGTGAACCACCAAAGCTGCTTCTAACTAGAACCTGGAGGGGTGCAAAACAGAAAGTGTGAGTAGGCAAAAACAAAGCTTTTCAAAATCATTTCATTATCAAAAGTTCTAACCCTTCACCTTAAAACCCTGTATAGTTTCCAGAAAATAAAATATACACATATATCAAAAACATGTTCAAAAATATACCATGTCAAATGCCTCCACAAAAAATGTAAGTAACCTAAGTAATGTCAATCAATGCAAGTAACATGTCAGCCAGAGTCACCTAACGTGACATGGACGGCTGAATCTAGAGCTCAAATTCCCAACTCACTAACTATACCTGCACACGAGTCGGAACCACCTAAAGTGGTCTGTACGACAAGATTGATTGTAAATAAATACGCTCAAGTGCTACGATCACGTGAAGACTGGGCGAATAATCACGGGTCACCTACGAGTCGGAACCACCTATAGTGGTCTGTACGACAAGACTGTGCACCTAACTTGGATCCAAGATGAACGTGTGGTGCGGGAGGTGAATATCACGGGAAGGGCTGTGCCCTACTCTGGGCGGGAGCACTAACACTGAGGTGCAGGTCATGAGCTCTCTATGCATCTCACATAACCACTAATTCACCATAAACTTACCTGGCACTTACATGTGCGTTCGTAGCACCAAACATAAATATATGCAACTACTATTGCATAAATAAATAGGCAAACGCTATGCATGGCATTTAAAACATATAAACACTCTATTTCATTTTCTGGGAAAAACCACAAGTATATAGGTATATACGGAAAACCAAAAGCCCACTCACTGATATGTGGAAGGGTCGTAACCCCCTTGCCTCGAGTAACTGCGCTCGTCCTCAGGATGGGTCTTACCTATATGCGAAACAACTATAAAAATGTCAATTTAAAGCACATAACCAAAACTAGGTAATAACTTCTCATACAATGCTCAAATGGGGTGTGTGAATACACCAACGTGATCTAATCAACCTCACGAACAACCCCATATTTTTAAAATAATTTTTCGAGGCTCCACGCGCCCCCACGTGCGACCAAAACTGACGGATGCCCTAACCACCGTTAGGGAATATTCCGTTAAACCCTAACAGATTCCGTTAAAACTAACCTAACGCTGTTAAAAATATTTCGTTAACTTAACGAAATATTCCCTTGTCTTCACCGGTAAGTCTCGCTGGCCGCCGCCGTCCACCACCGTCAGTCCCGCCGTCTGCAACTTGAATTCTCACCGGAAACTGGAAAATTTTCAAAACTTCATATCTTCTTCATTTCTCAACCAAAATTCATGAAATTGGTACCAAAATGAAGCTTACAACGAGTAGAACAAAACCTTACCACTTTGAAGCCCTTAAATTCATGGAATCTCGCCGGACAAACCACGAAATTTCGGCCAAACCTGCAACTCGCCACTCCTGGCCTTCCTGACGTCCAATTTCTTCCAAAATGCTTCTCCGAGCTTCGTGAGAGTATTCTAAAGCTTCCTATCACCTTAAAAACTTCTAAAACCCCCACGATCACGTGTGCATGAATAGTGCACAAAATCTGGGTTCCCAGGTTCTTAGGTTTTCGAGGGTTTCACGTCTAAAAAATGGTATAGATGAGTTCGTGATAACGAGATGAAGGTGATGGTACTAAACACGATAATGCCCTTGGTGGGTATTTGCCATTTTGGTGTGTTGTTTTGTTGTTTTTGGTGGTTGACTCTATAAAACACACACATACACCCATACTACACACTCACGTAACCCCCTCTCTCTTCTTTCTCTCGGATTTTCTTCCATTTCCTTTGCAAGTGTATGGATGAACTTCAAAACCAACCTTTCATGCACGGATTGACTTTTAGAAGGTAAGATTCGAACTCCTTGCAAGCTCCTGAGTTCATCCATACCACTTTTAGAACTTGAAACCCTCGAAAACCCTAGAACCCGAGAACCAAATTTTCATGCATTGTTCATGCACTAATCCTTGCGAAAGTTTCAGTGGATTTTAAGGCCTTAGGGAGCTTTAGAATACTCTCACGAAGCTCTGGAAATAAGTTTGAAGGATTTTGGACGTCGGGATAGCAAGTTCTAAGGTTGGCCGGATTTTGCGAAGTTTCTCCACCGAGATTCCGTGAATTTCAGGGCTTGAAAATGGTAAGGCTTTGTTCTACTTGTTGTAAGCTTCATTTTGGTACCAATTGCATGGAATTTGGTTGAGAAATGAAGAAGATATGAAGTTTTGAAAATTTTCCAGTTTTTAGCAAGAATTCATGTTGCAGACGGCAGCGCTGACGGCGGCGGCCGGCGAGACTCACCGTAGAAAACAAGGAATATTCCGTCAACTTTGATGGAATATACTAGCGGCGTTACTAACGGCGTCAGGTATATTTAACGGTATATTCCATTTTTGGACGGAATATTCCTTAATGCCGTTAGAGTTACCACACGTGTGCCAGGCACATGCCAGCGCGTAGCCGGCGCGTGGGAGGTCAGAAAATTATTTTAAAAATATAGGGTTGTTCATGAGGTTGAGTAGATCACGTTGATGTATCCAAATATCCCATTTGAGCATTGTATGAGAAGTTATTACCTAGTTTTGGTTATGTGCTTTAAATTGACGTTTTTATAATTGTTTCGCATATCGGTGAAACCTATCCTGAGGACGAGCGCAGTCACTCGAGACAAGGAGGTTACGACCCTTCCACATATCAGTGAGTGGGCTTTTGGTTTTCCGTATATACCTATATACTTGTGGTTTTCCCAGAAAATGAAATGGAATGTTTATAGGTTTTAAATACCATGCATAGTGTTTGCCTATTTATTTATGCATTAGTAATTGCATATATGTATGTTTAGTGCTGCGGACCCACAGGTAAGTGCCAGGTAAGTTTATGGTTTATGATTGTGAATTAGTGGTTATGTGAGATGCATAGAGAGCTCATAACCTATACCCCCGGTGTTAGTGCTCCCGCCCAGAGTAGGGCATAGTCCTTCACGTGATGTTCACATCCCGCACCACACACTCATCTTAGATCCAAGTTAGGTGCACAGTCCTATCGTACAGACCACTTTAGGTGGTAGAGGAAGAACTTTGTTGTGCCGCAGGTGTAATAATCGGCTATTTTAGAGAGTGCAGGAGAGGTAGTAGTAAATGTTTTACTTGTGGGCAAATGGGACATAGAGCTGCAAATTGTCCCCATAATCAGCAAAGACCCCAGCAGTCTTTCTTACCACCACCTGTGCTGATCCAGCAGGTTCCAAGAACCGGTAGTTATGGTCAGATGGGTCGTGGTGGTGCCTACTATTATCAGGGTGATGTTGTTCCTTATGCTCCAGGGCAATATCCATATCCCTATGATCCTTATTCTCAGAGTGGGTATCCTTAATACTCCGGAGGTTATACGCCGTATCCTCCCATTCCAGCGAATGGATTTCAGTGGTATTAGGGAGGACAGCCTCATCAGGGAGAGATTGCTACTAGTAGTGCAAGATTTTCAAGGCAGTCTAGTAAACCTAGTTAGGGGCGTAATGTGCAGGGTTGAGGTGGTCAGATTAGTAGAGGCCGTGGTGGACGACAGCAGACCCAAGGATGCATCCACAATATTTCTCTGCAGGATGCTCAGAATAATCCTGACTGGATTATGGGTACGTTAAATATCATTGGTTATTTTGCTAAAGTATTGATTGATTGTGGTGCGACACATTCTGTTATTTCTCATACATTTGCTCAAGTGACGCAACCTCACTCTACACCTCTAGGGTATGATTTAGAGTTTGCTATGCCTAGAAGGGAGAGATGTTATGTAGATTGTGGGTATCCAGGATGTCCAGTGATTGTGGAGGATGTTGTTATGCCAGCTGACCTTATCTCGTTAAATATTGTTGATTTTGATGTGATTTTGGGCACAGATTGGTTGCATTTTAATCGTGCCAATATTGATTGCTACGGGAAAACAGTTACCTTTCATCGTTCTAGATTACCTGTGGTTACTTTTGTGGGTGAGCAGAGTGGGGTGAGATATGGCGTTATTTCTGCTGTGAGAGCAAAAAGGTTGTTATCAAAAGGTTGCCAAGGATACTTAGCTCATGTAGTGTTGAACGATGTTGCTCTTAGTAGCGTTGAGGACGTAAGAGTAGTCAGGCATTTTCCCGATGTTTTCCCTGATGATTTACCTGGATTACCGCCAGACCAAGATGTGGAGTTTACCATTGATTTGCATCCAGGTACTAATCATATATCCTTAACTCTTTATCGAATGGCTCCTGCTGAGTTGAGGGAAATGAAAATCCAATTGTAGGAATTAGTGGATAAATGTTTTATTCAGCCTAGTACTTCACCCTGATGAGCTCCAGTGTTGTTTGTGAGGAAGAAAGACGGGACTTTGAGGTTATGCATTGATTACCGGCAATTGAATCGGGTAACAATTAAAAATCGTTATCCATTGTCGCGTATAGATGATTTTTTTTATCAGCTTCGAGGTGCTTGTGTATTTTCTAAGATTGATTTGAGGTCTGGTTATTATCAGTTGAAGATCAGTAGTGAGGATGTCCCTAAGACAACTTTCAGGACTCGTTATGGTCATTACGAGTTTCTGGTGATGCCATTTAGATTAACGAATGCACCAACAGCTTTTATGGATTTGATGAACCGAGTATTTTAGCCGTATTTGGATAGGTTTGTCATTGTCTTTATTAACAATATCTTGGTATACTCTAAGTCTAAATCTGAGCATGTTCGACATCTTACTTTGGTGTTGAAAAGGTTGAGGGAACACCAACTGTATGCTAAGTTTAGCAATTGCCAATTTTGGTTAGATCAAGTGGCATTTTTGGGACACGTCATATCTGCTCAAGGTATTTTGGTGGATCCTCAAAAGGTAGCAGAAGTGGAGAATTGGGAGCAGCCACGAACCGTCACTGAGGTGAGGAGTTTTCTTGGCTTAGTAGGATATTACCGACGGTTTGTAAAGGATTTTTTCGTGATTGCTTTACCACTGATGAGGTTAACGAGGAAGGATGTTAAATTTGAGTAGGATGATAATTATGCGTAGAGTTTCCAGCAATTGAAGTATTGTCTCACTCATGCACCTGTTTTGGCACTCCCAGATGATAGTGGTAATTTCGAAGTCTACAGTGATGCTTCCTTGAATGGTTTGGGATGTGTGCTGATGCAGCATGGTAGGGTGATTGCTTATGCTTCACGATCATGAGTTGAATTACCCTACGAATGATTTGGAGTTGGCAGCCATTATCTTTGCTTTGAAGATGTGGAGACATTATCTTTATGGAGAAAAATGTAAGATCTTTACGGATCATAAGAGTCTTCAATATCTTTTCACTCAGAAAGATCTTAATCTTCGTCAACGGAGATGGTTGGAACTACGTAGTGATTATGATTGCACGATTAATTATCACCCTGGTCGTGCGAATGTGGTAGCTAATGCACTTAGCAGAAAATCTCAAGGCCGTATTAACGCGTTGTACGCTAGTCGTGTTCCTCTTCTGGCAGACTTGAGATCAACTGGAGTGAGGTTAGAGGTAGAAGATTAGGAGGTAGCCTTACTTGCTAATTTTCAAGTTAGGCCGATTTTAATTGATCGTGTACTTGAAGCCTAGATGGTTGATGAAGAGACCCAGGAAATAATTCAAGCAAGGAATCAAGGAAAAAAGAAAAACTTCAGAGTTCAAGAATCGGATGGCATGCTTATGCAAGAGAGTAGAATGTTTGTGCCGAATAATTTGGAATTAAAGAAAGCAATTCTTGATGAAGCGCATATCTCATCTTATGTGATGCATCCAAGAGGTACTAAAATGTATCATACCATTCGACCATTCTATTATTAGCTGGGTATGAAAAGAGAGATAGCTGAGTATGTGAGTAGGTGTGCCATTTGCCAACAGGTCAAAGCTGAAAGGAAAAAGTCGTGGGTTGCTGCAGCCGCTTCCCATTCCAGAGTGGAAATGGGAAAATATTATTATGGATTTTGTGTACAAGCTTCCGCGTACACATAATGGTTTTGACGGCATTTGGGTAATAGTTGATCGGCTTACTAAGTCAGCGCATTTTATTCCAGTGAAGGAAAAGTATTCTTTAAGCTGATTAGCTGAATTATTCATATCAAAGATTGTGAAGTACCATGGTGTTCCAGTGAGTATTGTCTTGGGTCGTGACCCCAGATTTACTTCTAAATTTTGGGTGGCTTTTCAGGAAGCTTTGGGTACGAGATTACTCTACAGTACGGCATATCATCCTCAGACAGAAGGACAATCAGAAAGGACCATTCAGACATTGGAGGATATGTTGAGATCTTTGGTGTTGCAGTTTGGCGATGCTTAGCACAAGCGGTTGATTTTAATGAAATTTTCCTACAACAATAGCTTTCATTCGAGTATCGGCATGTCACTATTGAGGCACTATATGGTAAATCTTGTCGTACACCCTTATGTTGGTTTGAGGTCGGAGAAAGGGTTTTGGTGGACCCTAAGGGGGATGGATTGTAACATCTCATATCGTCCAGAGGAGTGATCCTTAAATGTATATTCTCATCCCTACCTAACACGAGGCCTTTTGGGAGCTCATTGGCTTCAGGTTCCATAAGAACTCCGAAGTTAAGCGAGAATGGGGCTAGAACAATCCCATGATGAGTAACCCACTGTGAAGTTGCTCGTGAATTCCCAAAAATAAAACTATGAGGGAATGGTAAGCCCAAAGTGGACAATATCGTATTACGGTGGTGGAGCGGGCCCGGGAAATGATCCGTCCCGGGCCGGGATGTGACAATAGCGCTCGTTTTAGCCATGTCACAAAAAACCGTATCCAACCGAAGGCCATAAGACCAAACATAATTTATTATTTAAAAACTACAACTTGAATTCAAATACAACGGCTAAGTGACGTCAGTTAGCCGTTGGATTTGAAATTTTCTTTTGCTATAAATATGGTGGATATTGGGCTATAATTCACATAACTTTGAATTCAATCTATTTCAATTCAATCTCTTTTAATTCAATCTTTTTCAATTCAAGTTTGCAATGAATTCCAACTTTGGATCCTCTTCGGATTCCAACTAGGGGTCCTCATCCAATTCCAAATTGGAAGCAAAATGGGCGCAAATGAGACGAGAAGATAAGGAGTTTGATGAAGAAGTTCAAGAAGATGAGGCGCAAATGTTATTTAATGTTCTTTCATATTGTTTAATGTTGTTTCATGTTACCTAATTAAATTTAATGTTGTATAATGGCTTAGGAAGTTATAGGAAAAAAAATATAATTTAAAAAAAATATGAAACAAATTTTGTGAAATAGAAGTTATAGGAAAAAAAAATAGAATTTAAAATAAAATGAAACAAATTTTGTGAAATAGAAGTTATAGGAAAAATTTTGTAAATAAAAAATAATAATAAAACTGTAAAAAAAAAAAAAAAAAAAATCAATGCAAAGGCTAGCTGACGTCAGCTAGCCATTGCATTTGAATTTTAGCTTAAGAATTCCTGTAGGTTATAACCGACAGGAATAATGATTTTTCTGGCCAGCCCCGAGCTGGCATACAGCCAGCCCTCCAACCCTCCAACCCTTTCAGATTTCGTGGGACCCTCTTATATTCCACAAGCCCTCTGGCCTAGCCCTAGGTTGAAGATAGTTTTCAGGCTATTTTGGACCTTCTGGCCCTCTAGACCCTTCGGTTGAAGATGGCCTAACTCACGCTAAGCCAAAAAGTTTATTATAGCCTTAGATCATGTCATTCTTCGAATGTGTTTTAGGCTCGATTTATTAGCAGTTTTCGAAAAATTGCGCTAGCTCTAACTTAAAGGTATTGATTTAATGACCAGTCATTCAAAAAGATGTGCATTGATTCCTAGGGGTGATTTTGGTACATTACCGTACCAAAACCTCTGTACCAATTACCATACCAAATATTTGGTACGGCAAAATCTATTACCATTACCATACCAAACTTTCAGTATACGAATATCGGTATACCAAATAGTTTGGTTGGTATGGTATGCCAATAGTAATTGCCACTTTGTTTTATGCCACTTAGTTTGCCCAAAATCTAATATTTTTTAATTAATGTAGAAGTGTAAAAAATATAGAAAAAATATATAAACGCTCGTAATGACAAGCTTTACAACTTTCATGAAGAGCTTAACTTTGAAATTCGTCATTATAATCATATAAATCATAGATCAAAATTTAACCGTTAATTGTTGTTTACATTTACGCTTCATTTTTCTCATCAAATTTTGTTTTTTTCGGATTTTCTTTTTTTGAAAACATAATCTATTAAAGAATGCAGGAAGATGAACGGTTTGGATCGTTGATATTATGTTCAGAGTTTTACAGTTAGTGAAAATATTGCTTGATGTTTATAAAGTTTCTACAAACAATATGACATCGACTCATATTTCAGTTAACCGTAAATATCGAAACGTGATATCAAAGATCTGAACCATTCATCTTCTTACATTCGCCAGATGATCATGTATTCAAAAAAGAAAATTTTAAAAATGAAATTCAGTAAGAAGAATAAAGCGTAACTGACAATCGACGGTTAAATATAAATTTAAGGTTTATGGATTATAGTGTTGGATTTTGAAGTTGACTTCTTCATAAAAGGTGTAAAGCTTATCACTATCAGTGATTGTATATATTTTTTTTACATTTTTTACACTACAACAATAATTATTATTAATTTTGCCCTCAAATAATTATATGAATAAATACATAATATAATATTAATAATATTGGTAGGTACGGTATACCATCGGTACTGGTTTTGGATACCAGTACCTTACCGAAACAGTATGGTACGGTACAAATACCGTACCGTTACCAATTGGTACAAATTTTTGGTAATAATTTGGTATGGTATGGTTGGTACGGTAATTTGGTAAAAATTTCCACCCCTATTGACTCTAGTACTTTGGGCTCTAAATAAGACTGTTGTTAGATTCAATATGATGAATAGAATTGTTTTTTTTTTCTTTTTTTGGGAAAAAAAAAAGAAAGAAAAAAGAATATATCAGTTTTTTATGTGAAAGTCACTTGTGAAGAAGCATGTTGGAGAATAGAGTTTGACATCGGAAACCGAGGCATTTTATAATAAAGTCTCATACCAAATAATAAGTGATTGGCTAAATTAGAAACAATATGAATGATATTAGTGGTCATACTAAACCTTTAGGTTAGATCATTGTTTATTGATTCATAGTTGGTACTCTTATGTTTTTACATATTTTCTTATATGCCACCAATTCATTACAATATATTTAGGTATGAAGATTTCAGTACACTAAGTTAGTATAATATGTTTAGGTACAGACATTTCTTTCACTAGTTTCGTATAATATATTTAGGTACCAACATTTCGGTACCTTAGTTTAGTATTATATATTTAGGTAAGGAATTTTCGATACACTTATGTTTTTGCATATTTTGTTATGTGCCACTAATTAACTACAATACATTTACATATGGACATTTTGGTACACTAATTTAGTACAAATATATTAAGATACAAACATTTAGGTACACTAATTAGAGGAAGTTAAATAAAATTAATGAATTAAAATGTGTATAATAATCAATTTAAAATTTAATGTAATGACATTAAATAAGATATCTATTAAATATTAAAACAAAAATATAATATGAATTTGAATTAAGTACACATTAAAGGACTAAAATCAATATCCAATCTAACACCAGGTTTTTATTAAATTTTAATCTTCTTTAAGGATTAAAGTTTAAAAACCCTTTTATTTTTTCAAACAAAGTAGAGCGAAAGGACTTTTATTGTGGAGGGTAATAGGTAATTTTAAAAGCTGAAAATATGAGGAGAAAATAAAAAACAGTGTTGAACTAACCGTAATAAATCTTTTCCCAGAAATTGAGTCGGCTTCCACTTTTGAATGTTGAACAATCACTGGCCAATGTTATCAAGGGGAATTCTCCGTCGTGATCTTTAGCCATGGCTAGTTATGGGTAGCGCTAAATCAAATCTCATATATAATAGAAATGTGAAAAACGACAGTGTAAGTATGCAGATAAAATATGTAACCAAAAAGATCACACACGGGCAAAAGAAGATATAGCTAGGGCGTCGACATTAATAATTGGTCATGTTTGAAACTCAGTCGATTCCCTCTCTTACCAAATCGTTTATAACGAAGGCCGAGAGAAATCAGTTGAGAGGCATCGGTAACGTGCAGTGTTTCGCGTGGAGTAACAGAATAGAGATAACGAGCCATTATTTCCTCATTTGACAAACTCTGAGCGAAGACAACTGGAGGTGTCAGTGCCGGAAGGTAAAATACTAAGTAATTTGTCATTCTTTTCAACCATGCGTTTGGCTACTTCAACCCTGTTTTGACTGTTCTATATTGCGCACGCTGCAGTTGTTAAGCGGCCGGACTGCATAGTGAAGAACTGTACCGCCACTTGAAATTCTTTCACTTCCTACCTGGGGATGGTCGCGAAGAAACTGGATCGCTTTATCCCAATCACTAGACTTCACATATTTGACGAAAGTTGCATAGATATCGTTTGCATTGCTCTCATGTCCTGAATGCCATATTTTATTTTAACTTTGTTAACTGCTAACTTTCCCACGCAATATCTTAATTTGTGAGGGATCAAGGTATATATACACACTACCTGCATTGAGCCCTTCTTCCATTGCGAGCTCTGGCCTAGCTTCACGATCAGTTGGGGTTGGCCCATCATCATGATCAATCGGGGCTGGATACGCTTGAAGAAGTGACCTCTCATCTGAAAATGGAAATCTTGATGTTCAGATATTACCATCAATTCTTAATTTTTCCTTTCTTTTCCTTTCTTACAAATGCCTATGTGTGTGAGAAGTTCAGCATCGTAAAACTAATTGGTAAATGAGAAGGTAATACGCCTACTACTAATAAGCACAAGTAAGGTCCCTCTTTTCTCCAATGTGGGATTCACTCTCAATACGCTCCCTCATGTGTGACGAAATTTCAAGCTTAACATGTGGACAACACAAATCGGATGACGTGGAGCATGTGTGACCATTGCCATAGAAAGTTAGGATTCCACTGTAAAACCAATTGGTAAATGAGAAGGTAACACAGCTACTAAAAAGCACAAGCAATGTCCCTCTTTTCTCTGATTGGCAATATTGGAGTAGCTCAATTACTTATAAGTACAAGCAAGGTCCCTCCTTTCCTTGATGTGGAATTCACTATCAGCAATATGTACGTACCTGTTCTTGTTCTGTCTGATGGTTGACTATAATGTGGCATCAATTTATTTGACAAAATATCTCATGCTTCTTTCGCCGTGATTGCGCTTTTGATAAACTTACAAGTATCGTCCCCGCGAAAACTCTGGATTGCATATAAGGCCCTGGCATCCTTCTTCCTCCAAGCCTTACGTTCATCTTTTTTTTCTTCATCTGTTTTAGGAGCTTTGCCTCTTTTGGAAACGTCCCTATTAGTAAAATTAAAATATATAAATAAGTATAAAATCTAATTTCCAATATTGAATACTTGAATATTAATATGGAAACATACATAAAAAAATTTACATCCGTAGGTTCATTGGTGCCTTCGACGACGTCCTAAAGATCTTCGGCCAACAAGTAGGTCTTAACCGGACAGCTTCAATCTTTATTGTTAATACGGTTAGGAGGTTTAAGATTAGCCATTACACAGGTAGGGACAACCGTTGCTAACACATTTAATCTGCCTATTACCAACAAAATTTTATGTTAATCAAGCGTAAGCGAGGAAAAAAAAAAAAAAAAGGAAAATTTTTTATTGTTGTAGCCTCTTTTGAAGATTGCCCTAACTCAATCTGTGTTGGGGCAATCTTCAAAAGAAGCTGCAACGATGAGCTATATAATTCTTAATTAACCTACATGTCCAGAGTAGCCAATCTTCTCATTTATAGATAAGCAATAATGTAAGGTTTTTTTTTTCCCTTTATATGTTCGTTTGTAATAAAAGATTAGCAATTAAAACATGGAAAAAGACCAAGAAAGATAGAAATGAACAAAATTATAAGCTTTGTAAGACAACGGTTGGTGTCAAAACTCAGATGGAGTCTAAATTTAATACAACACGTACTGCTGCGACTGTTCTTTTTGGTCTCAGCATCACGGGATGGCTTGAGAGAAAGAGAGGGGCTTGTCAATGTTAGAGGTTGCCAACAACAATGTTATGTTCGTGCGTGTGTGAAAGTTGCATGTAAATTTGACTTCTTAACCAAAAGATTGTGTATTGAGTAGGATACTGATTCGGTTCAATTCTTTTATGTGTATCAAGCGAACGAGGACTTAAAATTTAGTGTAACTTCCTGTATGCTTGCCTAAAATGTAAATGAAAGCGAAATAGAAACTAAAATGAGAAACAAAATGTAATTATTTCATGACAAAGTCAAGGTTACAAACGTTTACAAAAGTAAAATTTAGGCAGATGGGCCAAGCTACATGACTTGAAATGTAATTGATTGGAAATGTAAAGAAAGCAATAAAACTCTAGCAAAATTCAAGCCATGAAAAGTAAGTAATGCTAGAGTAGTCCATCGAGATCACTAGTATTAGACTGGACTTAGTACAAAACATGCGCCTTAGAGAGAAAATCATGGTGGTTGGAAATGCAAATCCATCGAATCTTACCACAGGGTGACTGAGCTGTAAGGTTTTGGATCACAAAGATCGTAGGCAATGTTTGCTTCGAAAGAAGGCTTGAGATTGTAGTTGAAAAGCTAAAGAGTTTTGCTGAAGAGCAATTGGGCTTTCACTGAAAAACACTTGGGTTGATTAAATTTGACGAAGGTCCTGAGCTTGAAGGCATGTGGCTCTATTTATAGACACAGGAAAAAAAAATCTCACATTGTTAAGTTGGAGCAGGGGTAAATCGGTCATTTGATGCTAACAGTGACTACAATTTCTAGATGTTGGTAGTGACATATCGTGTCGGATGACGTGTTTGTGACATCAGCGTGTGGATGATGCATGCATAGGTAATTAAGGAGACAAGATATTTTCAGACCTGGGTCGCCTGTATGGAAGAAACACTTTGGAGAGATTTCTGTTCAGGCCTCAGACAGGTTGGAGTTAAATGAGATGGTCCTCTAAGCCTTGGTTTGAGCTTCGAAGTTGGTGGGCCAAAGTCATGCAACTTTCGCTGAATAAAAATGAATAGGCCTCATAGCATACCTAATTTATGGCTCAAACAATAACCATTTCAGTTAAAAAAACTGAAAGCGAAATAAATTATCAAATAATATCCTAATATGTCAACCAGAGAAAGAGTTTAAACATTTTTCAAGGAATTGCAATTAGATGGGTAAGCTACTAAGAGCACGGAAACGTGTAAAGGCACAGCAATAAGATACCATGCGAGACGCCGATTCAGAAAAAGTAATATAATTAGGATATGGATTACCAAGCTAGGAACGAACAAGAGAAGAAATTACAGTATGCATTTTCATATTTTGAGTGATTCAGCTTCCAACTCAACTCACCTTTTAGCAGGCCTCCAGCAAAGGGTTACCAAAGAGGAAGCAACAAGATCCAAGCACGAAATCAAACCAACGCCCTGATCCGATAAGGAAGAACCCGCAATCTATAAAGAAATTCGAAAATATGTAAGCAACATGGTTAAAATACCACGTATTCAGTCCCAAAAAACTGTTCAATCTGGATAAAGAAACAAAAAAAAATAAAGATCTACTAAGAACCAAATGAGACAACTCGGGAGAAGTTTAAGAACCTGGCAAGAAAACAAGAGAATGTTGCGACCTTAAACGAAGAGAAACACAACTACCATGACAGCTAAGAGAAAGGCCTCTGAACTTTGGTTGATTGATAAGTGTAATGGTTGTAATCTTTATTCTAACAAATCAAAAACAAACAAAAAAACAAAAGTGTAATCTCATCTTTGATGAGTTGTCTCTCTTTTTATGGTGTACTCGTCCACTCATCTTATCTCTTTCTAAAGACATATAGATATATAGAATCCAGACACATGAAAACATGTAAAAAAAAAATTGTTAAAAAGGTAATTTTGCATGTGTGGGGAAAATTATATACCATGTAAAATTGGTGAAAGAAGTGATGAATTAAGTAAACACTGTGTCTGATATGTACAACCTAACTACCATGTCCTCGTGTTCTAGTCAATCGTTTCTACTGAAGAAAGTATCATAAAATTAATTGGCAATATGAGAGTGGGTCAAACTCTTATAAGCTAAAGTCCCTCTTTCTATCAATGTGAGGCTTATTCTCCACATCTACTCACTACTAGAATGCTCCACAATAGACATCTTGGACATATAATTGATTGTCGTGTTAGAGTATGAGTCTAAACATGACATTAAAGCAGGTTATAGTGTGAGAATTAGATATGAAAAAGTCTTATTAATAAGCTTTGAGTAATCCTAATTCTTGTAGGATTGAAAGTACTAATGATAGTTTGAGTTTTGAGGACTTAAATATGTGCAAGGATTGTGTATATTCACATGTTAATATGAACTGGATAGTTGAGTCCTATGCTGATTCTAATAGGAGGCCAGCAAGGAAAACATTCACACTACAAGAAAAATGAGTATTGCACACAATAAATTATATGTGCCCTTTGAGGCCAAAAAGCACCAACAATTGTGCTCATAGACCAATAGCAACAGCGCAGCTACTATCTTTGTGTATGTGCCCTCTATGGACGTCACCATTTCCAAAATGGCACAATACACACATTTGGTGTTGAAAGAGGCAGGCACAAATGGACCACTATTTGTGCCTGTTTCTGACAACTTTATCAGAAGACTTTTTCCAGCCATTTTGACACTTATATTTTACTTGTGCCAACAGGAATTAAATATTAAAAAAATCAAAATTTAAAAAACTCAAATTGAATTGAGGAAATGCAAAAATTTAAATTTTCATAAAATGAAAACAGCCTACAACCATGAAACCAACTTTCACTTTCCCAATCTCACAAACATATATTATAATGTTACATATTTTATCTCTAATACAAAAAGACTTGAAAACAAACATTTTCGGAAAGATGCATCTTCCCCAACAAGCCTTACACTTCATCAAACCTTTGCTGCTCCAGAAACGAATTAATGAAGATAACATGTGCAATATTTGAACCTCTCACAAAAGTCATGAATAAATATCAAATTCAAAGATAAAGAAAAACCACACAATTTACAAGAGCAAAGAAAATGAAGGGATAAAGAAAGAAATACCTGTGGGAGGACTCTTATTTGCTTTAGGGGCCTTTCTACCACTTGCTTAAAGATGATTCTTATATCACAACGCAACCCTCCAATACAGCCAACAACGGAAGCGGAAGATTAATAATGAAAGTATACAAGCGCTCCTCATAAAAAAATAAGTTTACAAGTGTTCAAGATAAAAAAAAAAAAAACAAACAAATAAAGCAGCTCATACAACTAACAAGAGGGGAAACTACCACATATTTCCAGTGATGTTCAACGACCAAAACTTTCAAACAAAAAACTTAAAAATGCATTACTACGTTGTTCAGTCCCATAAGACCTTGCATAAGGTTACATGGCTAATTGCTCAAGGTTCAAATTCGTCATAGATAAATCTTATCATCTTCATTTTGACTTTACATTACCACATGTATGATATGATCTACAAAAAGTTCATATGTTTCTGAGTAAATTCTCCAAGTTTCCACAAAAAAAATACTCAAATAGTGCACTGATCTTTCTCAGCATCTCAGCTTCACTCCTTGACTCACTAACAATCATAAAATCTAGCATAATTAAACAAAGAGCCAGACCACTAACGGTCTGAAAATTGGTAAAGTACTAAAAAAATACTAGATCAAGGAACATCAACAGAACTGGTTGAAAGAAAATAATCAACAATAAAAATGAAAATTCCATTGTTGCTGAAAGACAAACGTGAACCACAACCATTCCCACTGAAAACCAAAGCAAGAAAAGAGCCTATCAAATCCAGAATAAAATAAATAAATAAACCCTATTTTCATAGAAACATAACACAAAACATTTTACACATTTTCCACCAGCTGAACAATTCCCCACCAGCAAAGAGAAAGTTAAAACACCCAAATAACATATCACAACCTTTTCTTTTTTAATGAAAAGTCTTAGTTTTTAACGGTTACTAATACCTCTCCAAGAAGAACTTTGAACTTCGAAGCCACAACATGAACTCCCAAATCTAATTTGACAACATATTAAATCACAGTTCTTAAACACAAGCCCCAAATTCAACCCGAAATTTAAAACAGAATAGACTTGAAATTAAGTCCAACTATATCCCAGTTCCTATATTAGAAACAAATGAGCTAAAAGCTAAAAAACAAAAACAATCAGATGAACAAACACAATACCCAAAAATATGACTTATTTGGAAGTGGAATGGGTGATTATTATAATGAAAAAATGAAGAGCCTTGCCACTATATCGAAGTCTAAGAGGAAGAGAGGAGTGAGAAGTTGTCCTCCCTGCAACTCTATCGTCATCCTGCAGGTCATCTGGACTGGAGAAATGGGTTTTCCAGTTCCCACCATTAATACCAATGCATACATAATCAAAATACGCCAGAAACTGACAACGTATAAACCCCAAATTCATAAACCCATGACTTATTCCATCAACAATTCCAAAACCCACCAATCATTTCATACAAATTTTCAAACGCAATCAATCATTTCATGCTTGATCTTAGTGGCTAAAAGACCCACTCGGCTAACAGACTACAATATTCATCGGGTACACATGGATTCTATAGCCATCACTCATCAGAAACCAAGACAAATATAGTCGAATGCAAAACCATTCCTACAGGACGGACTACCAATACTCCATTCGTTATTTTCGTGCTTTGCTTTTTTTTTTTTTTTTAACGGACTTTAAATTTCTTATTCACACTAGCAAATCGTAAAAAAAATTACAGATTATTGAATCTGGGATCAACAGAAGCAATTTACAACATTTCAAATATGGGATACAATACTAATTGACATCTATAATGGAATTAAAATTTGAAATCTAGAATTGATCCCAAAACTGAAATTTCTATTTTGGAAAAGCACTTACATTAGAGGACAGCCCACGAAGAGAGGATCATTTTTACCTCTTAGGTCGAGGTCCAATTCCTGCAGGCTTGGCCAGAAATTGGCCGGAAAACCCACGGTCACCATTTCTTAGATATGAAATTGAGAAAAATCGGTTACGAATTTGTAGAAACAAACTTAGGGGTTGGAAAGAGGACTGGAAGATGATTCTGGAGGTATAATTTGGCGGCCGTTGGTGACTAATGGACGGCGGCGCTGTTGCGTGAAAGAGAAGAGGAAGAGAGAGGATACGAGAGGGAGGAAGATGATTGAGGAGGAAATGGAGGATAGCTTAAGTGAGGCTGTGGTTGACGAGGAGAGCCCGGGGTTGGTGAAAGGCTTGGGTTGATTGGGAAAGGGAGAGACAGAGGAGAGGTGGGAGGAATTGAGAGGAAATGTTGGGGTTGAGAAGGAAGGGAAAGAGAAAGAGGAGAGGCGGAAGGAAGGAATTGAGAAGAGTGAAGATTGACAAGAGAGAGAGTGGTATTTTTTTTTTTTTGGTCTAAAGAGAGAGTGGTGTTCTTATTTTATTTAAAACAAAGGGCACGAAAATATTATTGTGTCAGTTTGAAATTAATAAACAATCTTATTATTGTGGAATAGGAAAAAGTAAATATGTAGAGGACACAAAAACATACTTTTTATTTAAATATATTAAATTAGAGGCACGAAAACTGCTATCGTGTCTTTGTAAATTAATATTAAATTTTCATTTCTAACATTAAAGGGACACGTGAAAGTTGGATGGACATTTGGGCACAAAAGGCTTAGTTTTCGTGCCCAATAATGTGTTTGTGTCAACTTTTTTTACATTTGGGCACAATACTTGGTGCCCTTTATAAAATGCTCACTGTTCCACCATATTAGTGTTTAAAGGGACACAAACTCCTCATATGTGTCCTCAATTTTGTATCTATAGCCCATTTTTCTTGTAGTGTCAGTATATAAACACTAGTTACTGCTCTTGCAATTCTCCTGCTTGTTTCAATTCAAAGACCTATTCTTTGAGAGCACTAGTTTTATTGCAAAAGAGGAGAAGCTTAGCTATTTGAAAGGCTTTCATGGCTTCATCTTCTTCATCTGGTGCTGAAGGTATGCTTCTCGTTTCATTTTTGTAGTTGCAAAGTTGTGCTTATCTTTTGTGGCTCAATGGCACACCTATGGTCTATAATATGGTAATTATATACATATATATACATCTTACATGTCGAGCCATTAGAAATTGAACAAGGGTTGGTCTTCTCTATATGTGCAATAAAGATGAATAGAGTTGAGTCCTACAGGATTCTAAAGGCCAGTCATTATGTGATAAAAGTTTTGAATACTTTTATTGTCAGTCTCTAATTGGTATCGTCTAGTAAATTTAGATTTCATACAACATTGCTAAACAATCCCAAACTTTTTTAGACGTAGAAAATTTTGCAAGTTGCATGCCAACAGAATTGTTGATCCAAATAAATAATTTTTGAATTGTTCATCTGCTAAGTATCTAGCAACTCAACATAGTTTTTCTCCTTAGAGCAATTCTGTCACATCCCGGCCTGGGGCCCACCACATTTTGGGCTCGACTCTACCGTAGCACGATGTTGTCCGCTTTGGACCCCTACCACGCCTTCACGGTTTTGTTTTTGGGAACTCACACGAGCATCTCGGTTTGGACGGAATGTGCTGACACCGTCAGTCAGTTTTAATGGAATCCGTTAGGGTTTAACGGAATATTCGTGACGGCATTAACTGACGCCAGTCAGTGTGACTGTCACGTGGCCGCGCGTAGGTCCGTGCACTCGTCGGCACGTGGCGGAATGTGGGGCCTCGGAAAATTATTTTAAAAAT